CACCCTCTGTAGGACCTCTCTGACTGCTCAGCAAACTGAGTCCCAGAACGTCCACCATAAATCCATGCTGTCTCATCTCACCGGGGACCTCATGGCTGCTCCACGATTCTGATATACATGCTTGGTTAATTTTCCATCTCATTCTCCCAGTGGCTTTCTTTAATTAATTACAGCCTCTGTGAGACCGTAACCCCGTGCCTTCCTGCCTTCTCTTTAGTTACCTGTTGTCTGTTATTATCAGGGAAGATAGTAAGACCCCCGTAGGCCCAGGGGCTGCACCTTCCCTGCCCCCACCTCCTTTCCATCTTCACCTGCCGTTTCTCATGTGCCTCTTGCTCACGGGAAATGGTGTCTGTTTCCCTCCTGGATACCCTTGCACTTGCCCAAAGATATTCCTCTACCATTTTTTCTTTCCCCACACTCTCCTGACTTCTCAAGAAACTTCATTTAACAATGGGTCATTCTCTTGCCTGATTATTTCTGTAAGTGTCTCCCTCTCTGTGGCACCTTCACTTCTGCTTATGAACACAGTCAGCTTTTACTGTTAAAAAAAAATGAAATGAAAGTGAAAACTAAAATTTTCTCTAGTCCACCATCCTTTCATTGCTCTGCTGTACTTCTCAAAAAGAGTGGTTATATCTCCTCACTTGTTTACTTGAGCACTAATTTCTTGTAACTGCTTACTACCTTTCAACATAGCTTCTGCCCAACATGTGTTCTAATCATTTTTTAGCTTAAGAAAGTGAATTCTAAGAATGGACATCAAAACACAACCACACAAAATCTATGGGATTCAGCAAAAGCAGTTCTTAGAGGGAAGTTCATAGCAATACAGGCCTTCTTCAAAAAACAAGATAAATCTCAAATAAACGACCTAACCTACCACCTAAAATAATTAGAAAAAGAACAAAAAAACCCTGAAGTCAGCAGAAGGTAGGACATAATAAAGATCAGAGAGGAAATAAATAAAATAAAGGTTAAAAAAATAGAAAAATATCAATAAAACCAAGCTGGTTCTTTGAAAGGCGAAGAATGGGCGCCAAACTCTGAAGCATGATGACTGGTTTTGAGTAAAGCTTAACGTCTAAATTAAACCATTACAAACATAGCAGTGTCCATAAGTACTGTGTTTAAAGCTTATTTAGTTAGGAGGATGGAAGAAAATGTAGGTAGGGAAATGAGGGGATAGAGAAAGGGAAAAAAATGGCATGGAATATGGGAAAAGAGTTGCAATGCTGTCTGAAGGTTACAGGGATGACTGCCTTGAAGAGTCCCATGTTGTAGATGTGCTTCGATGCCAAAGCTAGTAGTCATGGAAACTAAGCAAGGCCCTCGGGGATCCTGACACTCTCTGCAGGCTGTCTCCCATCTCCTCCCAAGTGTTACCACATTGTTCCAGATTCTTAATACCTAGATATTTGTAATCGTTGCCCAAATGGTGTCCCCGCCTTCTGGTTCTCTTCTCTTCCTCTCAAGTCACCCTCCGTGCAGATGCTAGTGTCTGATTTTCTTTGCATGTAGCAAGAACTAAGAAAATGTGAATGAGTTAAATAATGAATGAATGAATGAAAATAATTCTAAAGTTACATAATCACTACGGCCCTCACAAAGATTTTTTTAAGTGATGAATTATTTTTTTAGAAAACTTATGCATAAAAAAAATACTATTCTACCTGAGCCAAGAAGCCTTGGCAAGGGATGGAGTCTGGGGGTGGCAGTGGAGGTCATTTTCAGATCTATAAGACCGAAAAAAAAAAAAACCCAACTTTTCTTAAAACTCAAACATTAAGGGGGGACTTGAAGCTGCAAACACACGCACACACACACACACATTTTCTAAAATTTAATTTGCTCAATAGCATTTTGTGGTCCACTCTACAGAAAACTAGAAATTATATGGAAGTAGATGTTTATTCACGTCATGAATGGTGAAAGCCTAACACATGGTGGTTGGACTGTAAGCAGCCAGTTAAGATACTAAAATGCCAGTAATATCTGTGAATTCAGCTTGTTCCTGCCGCTAGGTGACAGACACCAATGTAGATCATCAGTGATTTTTAAAAAATCACTTAATTCCCTAGTCTCGATTTCCCATAAGGTAAAAATGCATCAAAATTATGATTATTTTACAATGCATTTTTATTTTATTATTGAAATCATTTTCTCTACACAATTATTCTGTTGGAAAAAAGCATGTTTATATTTTTATTACTATGCTTTCATTTATAATTTAGCAATTATGGTTTGTGTGAAGTATATCAATTTAAGAATTGTTTAATGCTTCCTGTAATGGCTCTGTCACTTTATTTTCATTTCTAGCAGATATTTGAAGTTGATATTTAGCTTTTAAATTCATTTAGAACAATCTCAGCATAGTTTGAAAAAGACTCTTTAGGAGCCAACCTGAGTTGGATAATTTAGAAAAAATTCAAAATGCTAAAATCACATAAAAAGAAATCTTGTGAAATGGAAATGAAAATGAACCAAGCTTTTGATTTTTCCTATGGGAAATAATCTTAACTTTATGAAAAAATGATATTGCCAGTGATGCTTCAGGTGAGTTTCAGGAGAATTTCTTTAAAAAGAATCTGTAAGATATAAGAAGTCTTGACTATAAGCAGAGAACTGTTCTGGTCAGTCTGAACTCAGTAATCAGCGAGGTCCCTGTTTACATCTGCTTGTGATGAATTACTTCTTCAAGTTAGTTAAAAATCAGAGCCTCAGAATCATCTTGGCAGCTGTGCAGCACTTGACCCCCTTTGTGGTGATGAATTATGGCATGGCATTAACTGCAAATTTTTCTTTTTCAAAGAAGAAACTTTGCCCCCTGTCCCTGCAGACTGCTATGGACCAGCGGGCTTCAGTGGTGGGTCAGGAGGGGCTTTCATCTTTATTGTGTGCTTCTCTCTGGAACCTTTACTTCAACTTTTGTTACTTGGAGAATTTGGGGTGATTTATTTTGTGAACCTTGTTTTCATCATTGTTGATAATAGTCAGACATTGTCTTTAACTCAGGATCACCATGTTTAAGACGTGTTTTCTGTAAAGGGCCAGATAGTGAAGATGATAGTTTTTGTGGCCACATGGCCTCTGCATCAACTCTTAGGTCTACAGTTATAGTGAAACACAACTCTAAATAATACATAAACAAACGTGTGTGTGTGTGGTCCAATAAAACTTTATTTACTGAAACATGCAGCAGGAAGAAACGGGTCACGGTGTGCTGGCCCCTGATCTAAGGGAGTATCTTTGTGTGGGAACAGGTGGAGAAGAGGTTCAAAGGACTTCAGAAATCTCAGCCGCTCATGATGTATAATGCGTTAGGTTTCAGTGACTCAAAAAAATAAATATTACAATTAAATGATGTGCTATAGAAACCCAGATTTGCTTTCACTGGTTGCTTTTATAATAAGTCACAGTCTGTTGACTGAACAATTCCTTTAGACAATAAGCACCCACTGACCAACAGTCTGTCGGCAACAGGTATGCTATAAAGTATACTTAAGCCCTGATCCTAGGACCTACACGTTTGGAGAGAGGACATATCTAGGGCTTTCATATTAAAGAATAGGCTCTGAGATGAGTTTTAGTTTTTCCCCACCACGCCAGCCTTTGACATGTGCTGCAACATCCAACACCGATACCTCCTAACTCTGTCCAGGGAAAGGCAGATGCTGATTTTGAACTTCCCTGTGTTCTCATCCTTATTACTCCACCCAAAGAACTTTTGAAGTCAGTGTTCCTCTTGGCCTGCTTTATCTTTACTTAAGAAAAAGAGATCCAAGATACTAGTGTACTGTGTCATACTTCTTTATTTTGAGGTTAGGGGAGGGTTGGGTTTCAATTCCTGTATCTCATTGCAATAACAATCTGACCAACCATCACATTTCCCCTGGGGAGACAGCTGAGCTAGATAAATATATTTTAAAATCCACTCTTTAAAGCATGCTTCCAGAGAAGAGGGATGAAAGGAAAGTAGCAGCAATTCAAACATTCTTCCAGCCTACCACTGCGATTCTGCTCCAAAAAATTACTGTGCAGGCGTTTTGGGAACATTCCATTCATATTTCTAACAGAGTTCAAGCAATATTTCTAATTAAATTTAGTAACAACTCCTAACAGCTGGTTATATAATAAGAATTATTGAAGTTCTAAGGTTTGAATTTGTGACCTGGTGGTATAAAAACTTATCCAGTGAGGAAAACAAATTATTTTTTTTAATTTGAAGAGAAGAATAATGAAGATTTCATAGACTATGAATCTCTGACACTAGAAGTCATAGTAATTCAGTAAACTAGTTGCACCAGGAATTCCTTGGAAGATGTAGTAATTAACATTTTAAAACAGTAGGATTTACTGTACTTGAACTTTCTGTAACCAGTAACTTTTTTGACGATGATTATTGACAGTTTAGGCCTTTTGTTTTGACCAAATATGTGTGCATCTCCCTAGGAAAATCTTCATAATATTTCCAAGTTGAGACTTTCTATATTCACTCTATTCCAGAGTAGCATGTTAAAATGTTTCAGAATTCTTCCACATTGGTAAGATACCATATGTAGTAAAGTGTACACTCCATGAAACTACCATCAAAGTAAAACATTGAAGTTACCAGGTTCCAGCATTCCTTAGAATACTGTCGTAACTTTTGTATATGAAAGCAAGCTTGTGCCTATGGATACTGACTTTTAATAGATGAAGGTGGGGACGTAGCTCAATAGCTATGCTGTTAAAATTGACTTCTGTGCAGGAATGATCGCACATTTTTGATGTATTGGTGTCTAATGCCTTTGAACATGACTTAAGAGTCCAGCAACGACTATGCAAGGGAAAGGAAATTAGTATTGGCCATAGATTCAGCTCTAGCATTAAGCCAAAGTGCGACGTCCATGGGTCTGAATGTGAGGTTGCAGTTTCTAATACAGCCTGGGATGTGTGGGAGGAGGATGCCGTGTGCTCCCCGAGGGAGAGATCTCACCTGGCTGCTGTTTCCTCCCCAGGATCTGTCACTGCGAAGGGGATGAGGGGAGTCCGCTCATCACGCCCTGCCGCTGCACGGGCACCCTGCGCTTCGTGCACCAGGCCTGCCTCCACCAGTGGATCAAAAGCTCCGACACGCGCTGCTGTGAGCTGTGCAAGTACGACTTCATCATGGAGACCAAGCTCAAGCCCCTCCGCAAGGTAGGGTGTCGCTAGGACTGGTGTGAGAGAGACAGCCGACAGAGCAGCCATTTTGTTAATTGAAGTATAATTGACTTCAGTAAAAATGTACAATGTTGTGTTAGTTTCAGGTGTACAGCAAAGTGATTCAGTTACACATACATATTAAAAACCCATTTCTTTTCCGCAATAAGATTTTGCTAACATGCTAGTAGCCGCTAAGAATACACATCTTGGGTTGGGCTCAATATGTAAAATGCAGCCAAGTGTTTACAGATAATCCTCCCTACTTCTGTTTTAGGGTCTAGGGCCTCTGGTTTTTGTTTCACTCTTCAAAGTCAAAATCATGTGCATGTGTGTGTGTGTGTGTGTATGTATGTGTGTGCATATGTGTGTGTGTGTGCGCGCAAGATATACCTGTGGGTCAAGGTAATTGAATTGATGAGAACTGTGAGAACATTGTATTGATATTTACTGAAGTCACTTCCCAAGAAGGTTAGATAATAGATCCCATAGATTAAACAATATGAACTCACCTAATTTCTTGAAAGCCAGGCATTAGGTAATGGAAGAGAATGATGTCTTCTACAAGGCGTGGACTCGTTTTTGTGTTTGCCTTTATCTGGGGATTTGGTTTGATAGTTTATGTATTATTTTTATTTTTTCATGTATTATTTTTCCATATTGTGCATCAAGCTGCAAGAGAGAGGTAAGTATTTTTATCTATAAATTTAATCTTCAAATTTCTCATTTGTGTTATATTTTTCTAAAGAATGAAGGTAAGAATTGAGTTGAATATAAAGTTAGCATCTAAATCAATGCTGGCAGAGGATAGCTTGTAAAGGATGCAGACAAAGACATGAACTTTATATACTTCATGCATGATAGCTGGGACCCTGGATTTTAGCATGTTAACTTATCTTTTAGTCTAACTGAAGCCTTACGTATACGGATGCCTCAATTTCCAAAGGAGAGTATGGAGACGGCAACTTAAATAATGAATCTGCCTAGAGCTGCTTTTTCATTTAAATTTCATGCAAAGAAAAAGTGAATTAAGGTGATGGGTTCCAGGGTGAGCAGAGATGTAAAACAAACAAGAATATTCCAATAGACGTCTGATTGGTGGCTGGCCATTGCAAATCTTCATGAATTCTGTAAATTACAGAGAGGGAGAACAACAGTCCCTGCTTTTGTGATAGCCTTGATTTTTAAAATCTGCCAGTGGTTTATAGATGTCAAAACTGGTGCATAAAACACCTGTGAGTTATGGATTTTTTTAACATGTGGGGTGACCTGAGTGCCAAAAGGTGACACTCTGATCCTCCAAGTCCCAAAGCAATCAATGCCAGAAATAGAAATGGACCCTACCTCCTTGCCCTTTGCTTTATCTGCTGAAGGATGCTGTGTGCTCTCTGGAGCCGCTACATGACACATTGTGCTCTGTGATTCTGTAAATTTCTCTTCTTACCCCTCAGGGAAGTACCAATTGTTTCATAACGTCTGTATAGTTCTCCATTTTTTTCAACCTACATCTGTATAAAATTTTTATTTCAACTTTTCAAACATAGTATTTCAATATGAGAACAACAATCTAGGATAATAAAATATTCTAATTCTCTCTTCTTCATACTTCGTGCCCCTCCCCCATTTTTGTATCACAAACAGTACATGATGCTGTATGGACCTTGGAAAGTCTTCTACCTTCAGCTTTTCTAGAATCACCCCTGACATACAGCTTTGGTCCTTTCTTAGTATTCCATTCCCAGTAAGTCACAATCCTTTCAAGAGATCTTTTTTTTTCCTCAACCAACCTGTTTACAAACCAGAGAAAGACTACGAATACATCTATCTTTTTAATCTTAAACTCAGCCATAAAAAGAGACAAAATTGTGCCATTTGCAGAGACATGGATAGACCTAGAGACTGTCATACAGAGTGAAGTAAGTCAAAAAGATAAAAACGAATATCGTGTAATATTGCTTATATGTGGAATCTAGAAAAATGGCACAGATGAACTTATTTGCAAAGCAGAAATAGAGACACAGACGTAGAGAACTTATGGATACCAAGGGGGGAAGGGGGGGTGGGATGAACTGGGAGATTGTGATTGGCACATATACACAACTATGTATAAAATAGATAACCAATGAGAACCTACTGTATAGCACAGGGAACTCTACTCAATCCTCTGTCATGACCTAAATGGGAATGAAATCCAAAAAAGAGTGGATATATGTATACGTATAACCAATTCACTTTGCTGCACAGCAGAAACTAACACAACATTGTAAAGCAACTATACTCCAATAAAAATTTAAAAATATATATATTGCAGCAACCTAGTGGGCACATCCTATCTGTTGATTAATGAAATACCCTAGTTTCTTTTCACAGACGTTTCCTTTGATTGGTCATAAGTACTGATGAAGGGCAGCATGTCAACATCCTTTTTTTTTTTTTTTTTTTTTTTTTTTGCGGTACGCGGGCCTCTCACTGTTGTGGCCTCTCCCGTTGCGGAGCACAGCCTCTGGACACACAGGCTCAGCGGCCATGGCTCACGGGCCCAGCCGCTCCGCGGCATGTGGGATCTTCCCGGACCAGGGCACGAACCCATGTCCCCTGCATCAGCAGGCAGACTCTCAACCACTGCGCCACCAGGGAAGCCCAACATCCTTCATTTTTAATAGCATATATACCTACAGAGGATGTCAGAATGTAATCCAGAGGCTGCTTGCCAACAGCCCACAGATGTGTTTTACTTGACCCACAGGGCTGAAAAATTGAATCTGTGATGATTTCATGTAAAATCCCACACATCTGTATTTGTTTGAAAACCACTGTATCTGGCTTGACAGGAACCACATATCCGTAAGACAACAACTAGTGTGGCTAGCGGGAGGCTGGCCCCTTTGTAAAGCTGTTTGCCCTCAAGGGCCCTGCATTTCTCAGTCCTCCCTCTTCCTGATCCTGAGATATCTCCTCTCATTTGAGCATGAGATCTCAGTGATCTCTGAGCATCAGATCTCTCTGTGGCTCTGGTATACAGATCTGAATTTTCAGCTCCTAGTCTAACATGGTCTAACACAGTCCTAGACATAAGAAACATACAGGCTATTCCTACCTCTGTGATTTATGGGCTTTAAAAACCTAGAAAAAGGATTCCACACTTTCACTTTCTCCCTTAAAATTATGGGGCCCTGTGATAACACTTCAATGGCAGTATCTGAAATGACTTTTCAGATTTTCAAGTGATGTGAACTATACAGACATGAGGCATATTTAAACGGTTCTGGATGGTTTATTTTCATGGCACTGAGATTCATCAGTAGTTTTCTTTTGGTAGTTTTCAAGTGGTCATTAAGAATGACAGGTATAGCATTTAATTAGAATATATTCAAAGTACATCTAATTAATTGCTCTCAACTCAGTAATTCTATTACAGTTTATAACATTCTAAAGACCAACCACATGAAACAATTAATTTAGCTAATGATTCTGAATTTCTGTCATTAGCCAATGGAGGCAGGAGATTCTGTGGAGATGAAATGGTTTCTTGAAGTAGAAAGGTACAAATCTTCATAGTCTGACAAACCTTGGGGCTTAATAGCCTCTAAAGATATCAGCGAAAGCTTACTTCATTAATTGCTACTATTACTACACCAAAATCTAAGTTAGTGAATTCATCAAGGTATCCTAATGTTTCCAGAAGAAAATCTTTAAAGCCTAAATAAAAGCAAGGCCTTATTTGAGAAAAAGCAATTTTCATCACCTTTAAGTCAGTGGCTCAGCTACTTTTATAACACTCAATAGAAGTCTCATTAATCTACTGAGTTACCAAGAATCAGAAATAATTCACAGGGCCCAGAAAAGTCAAAAATAGAGAAAGCGCAGCAACGACTAAGTGCTGTCTGGAACTGCATGCAGTCTCACTTAGGACGAGGAAACTAATCTGTTCTGAAGCTGAAGAACTGCATGGGGCTCAGATCTGAATCTCACTCCTGAATGGCAGAAACCAGCTACTGGACAGAAAGCTAAGCTTAATGAGGACAGAGAATACTCCTGACACTGTGTGTCCTTCCCTAAAAGAGTTCTCTATATGGTTTTCCATTTACAAACTATTTGACAAATAGATAATACAAAATATGCAAATCCATGCATCAATTCCTTGTCTCATTTCTACAAATAAAATGAGGCAGTGAATCAATTCAATTATGTTTGCTGTAGTAGCAGTTAGGTCAAACCATATGCACTTGTCATTTTTATAGATCAAAAACAGTTGAAGATTGGAAAGTTCATAAATGTAAGTTCTGTAGAACTTATTATGCTAAATAAAAAGGAATAATCATTTTGATATTTTTAAATTTATTTTATTGGAGGATGGTTGATTTACAATGTTGTGTTAATTTTTGCTGTTCGGCAAAGTAATTCAGCTATACATATATATACATTCTTATTCATATTCTTTTCCATTATGGTTTATCACAGGATATTGAATATAGTTCCCTGTGCAATACAGCATTTTTATATTTTTATATTTCTACATTTCCACCATAGTGACTTACAATGCTTTAGTTGAAATACCTATTTTTAGAAAATAATAAAAATTTAACAACTACTGTATTATTTTTTTCCTTTCCTTACTTTGAGGTAGCATCCATCTTTCAGAATAGCCAAGAGCCAATGCAAGTTAGCATAGCAGGTCAGCCACCCCAAGGGTGTTACTGATTCTCTGCTGAGCTGGAGCTCTTGCAGTTCGTAGCCTTAACATTGGACCAGGCAGGATGCAGTCAGATTCCTAGCCAGCAGCTTATAGCACCCTTTTGAATAATCATACATAATAATACAGAAAGGAAATTCAAAATGCACCCTTTACTTATCATTATGGGTGATTTGCAGTTTCACTAATGCAACCACCACAGACTGAATTTTCTGCTCTGTGCCAGGCATTTGGAATGTATTTCTCAATTAATTTCATCTCATTACAGCTCCATTGTGTGTAGGCACGTGAAGCCCATTTTACA